ATTGGGAACTTTGAAGCGGCCAGGTACCGCCATTCTTTTTAATGTTATGTGCATATATGTACAACATAATTTGTGTATGACCTATGTGCAGATGTACAACAAAATTGAGTATTTTTTATTTCACTGCATTTTAAACACATTTGTATACATTTATCAATATCACCCAAGTTTGTAAGGTCGTGGTATGGGTTTGTCTAGTGGGGATACATATTTCTATAGGCTTTAATATGCAGACGATCATGCAGTAATTGCACAAAAGAAAGGGAACCTATCCTCTAAGAAAATGTGTCTATCTTGGCTAAAACAAAATTAACAACAAAAGGAAGTTGTGGAAACATAATCAGAGACCCAATCACCAAAGCAAAACGAGTAATAGAAGCATTGAATTCTACATTATGGCAGAAATATTAGACCTGAAACAAAAAAGGGAATATACAATATCCTACTAAGACCGACTTAAGTTCAGAAAATAAGCAGTTGACAAAAAGCAAAAAAAACGACTTACTAGTAATAGACATGGACTTCTGGAGAAGGACAGCAAGGAGATCTAGAGTGGAGCATACTAGAAACCAAGAAATCAGAATGGACGTAGAAGAAACGGTAATATATAGTATAGAAGCCCAATCATTAATATGTATGGAGTAAAGCATGTTTAAAATTTCTTTAAATTATTCCCCTTTAAAAATAACTTTCACGCCACCTATGTCTATGTATTTTGTTGGAAGCCTTAAAAATAACCCAAAAACAACGAGCGATTTGTCATGCCTTTTTTTAACAACGAAATAATTCGTTAAATGTTCCTCGTTCTTTTTACCTTTCATTTGTTAAATAGAAACCCTTCCTCGTAACAAAGAAATCAGTTTCTATTATCGAGTACCCTGCTTACCTTCTAAAAAAAAACGAAGATGTTAGTTTTCGATGAAATAATCTATCCTTCGAGAGAAAGTGGTTAGGTTACAAATACTACCACACTAGCCTTGTCATTTAAGTATTATTTTCGCGTGGCACTCTTCGACCAATACTCTCACTCTTTTTTATCCTTAGCTTGTCTAAGATCAGAATTCGAGCTCATTTTTGAGTTGGTTCCTGTGGCAAGCGGTTTGTCTCCATTAAACGGCGGTAAGTGTATTTTCAATTCACCCTTATCTTTATATCTTCACATAGTGAAGACTTATATGAACTATTTTCTCTTTTGTCAAACAGACGTCTTCCGATTCGAGGAAACTAAGTCATTTCTGTTTGCCGTTCGTCTCTACTGTGCGTCTCTACTGTTCATCTCTACTATTCGTCTCTACTATTTACTACTACCTGTATTACTACTGCGTGCGCTTCTTGTTCTGCTGCTTCTCTTGATTCCTTTTATTTCTGCCTACATAAATTTGAGACATTGCGGATTGAAACACCGTAGTTCGTTACAGTACCTGACTTATCCACGCCGCTTGAGCAGTACCAATGTACCTGTTGCAAGGGCAACGCGTCAAGTGCCTTTATTATTGAGACCGTTCTATGAACGACGTCATTACCTGTGCCCAGATTATTCAATTGTGAGTACCGACATTTTTACCTAAATCTTTAGAAGTTGATTTACGATTTCAGTTCAGTGACTTTACTTATTTATGGTTAACTCCAACTGAACGAACTATTATCGGCATAAAACTACGTTATAATATATACGTATAAATTATGAACAATTTGTTTTATATGTAGGTTATATTTATGATAAATTTTATGCATGGATTTGAGGTGATCACGATGAAAAATTTAGTAAATGTTTACGTATTCTCAAGGCATAAAAAATCACTTATTTGACGAATATTGACGTAGATACAATTATAATATTCCTTGTTTTTTTTCCTATTCTTAAGAATATTATATTATTCAAAACTATTTTTCAAAAAGATATTTTTTGTAGTCTGTCTCTTCAATCCTGACCCCCCAGGGGAAGTGTAGTGGTCGACGTGATATCGAGTATTGTCCGTCTCCAGAGATCTCTGTCTCTTGTCATTTCTTTTAATTCATGCATAGGTCTTTGGCATATTCCTGTAATTTGATCTATCCATCTTGTTGGGGATCTTCCTCGTGATCTTCGGCCTTCTACCTTTCCTTGTATTAAGAGTCTTTCCATGTTTTCTGTGTTTGCTCTCATAACATGCCCAAAATATTTTAATTGTTGGAGATGGACTTTACTACAGAGTCGTTGGCTAACTTTTAGCTCTCTTAAAATTGAATTATTTGTTCTACGGTCGGTCCAAAGAATTTGTAACATTCGTCTCCAACAGAACATTTCAGTGGCGTCTATCTTTCCTCTCTTCGATTGTCTCAGAGTCCAAGATTCACATCCGTAGGCCAGTATTGGGAATATTAAGCAGTTGATCAACCTCATCTTTATCGCTCTTGAAATTTGACAGTCCTTTCATATTTTGGTCATTTTTGTTGTGGCAACTTTTGCTAGATCCCATCTACGTTTAATCTCTTCTTGTAATGACCCTGTGTTTGTGATTAATGATCCCAGATATAAGTATGAGCTCACAACCTCGAACCGGTCAGTTGTGGTTATGTGTGGATGATTCTTGTGTAGTCTATCCACTATCATGATCTTTGTCTTTGATATGTTTAATTGCAGACCAAATATTTGACTTTCGTTTTCGATCAGTCGTATAAGTTCTATCAGCTCTGCTTGACTATTTGCAAGAAGGGCTGTGTCATCTGCGAAACGTAGGTTGTTTAGTTTATGACCATTTATTGAGATGCCCTTTTCCCATCCTTCAAGTGCTCTTCGCATAATATACTCCCCATATATGTTGAATAATTGTGGAGATAGTATACATCCTTGTCTGACACCCCGTTCTGGATGAAATTCGTTCGAAAGTGTGTCAAATACTTTAACTGATCCAGTAGTGTGTTCATATAGTTCGGTTATAAGCGTAATTAAATGTTGTGGTACGCCTACTTCTTTTAGTATTCGCCATAAGTGTCTCCACTTGACCCTGTCGAACGCTTTACGGTAATCTATAAAACAGATGTATAGTGGGATGTTGAATTCCCTAGATTTCTCGATTATCTGTCTTATATTCAGCAGGTGTTCTCGAGTTTCTCTACCTTTGGTAAATCCAGTTTGCTCTTGTGGAATTTCTCTTTGAAGGAATGTTTTCAGTCTCTCATTGATTATATGTAGCATTATCTTGCTCGCATGGGATATAATGTTGTATTGAATAATTGTAGTATTCAATAATAAATTGTGCAATAACTTATCTCGTGCTAACTGTTCAGTAAAAATTGTCATAGTGCATTTACTTAACTATACCTCAATATAACTTTTTTGATGAGCTATTTGCCTTTTATTTTTTTATTATGTATATAAATTTATATGTTTGTGCATGGTGTATCTCTTTCAGACATTATTGATTTATATTACTATTTGATTTATCATATAAACAGTGTATATGTGTCGAAATATTTTTATGTTTATGTTATTCTCGCGTGATTATCTTACTGTATCTTACCTGTCTGTTATCTTATTCTATATGTCATAAGGTTTTTCCTGTTTCTCTAAAAATAGGGTGGTGCCCAATTATTTCTCTTCTCTTTATCTTCCAACTTCTCTTCTCTTTATCTTCTAACTTCTCTTCCCTTTATCTTCAGTACCTCTTTAACTGATTCTTTGTATTTGAGCTGTATTAAGAGCCCCGATCAAGAGACTTCTACCAGACTGAAGCTCGAGCCTAGTACCATTCCCTGCGTAACCTCTACGAGGAAAAAGGTTCTTAAGAAAGATATTGGAATGGATTAAGAAGAACACGATGCAGTATACCTACAATATGTCTATACGGAATTACCAAAGCAATATCAGAAAGAAATTTTGAGTGAAAACGACTGGAAGGATTACAGGCTTGAAGATCCAAAGGCGTATTATGTTATAAAAGTGATTATTTAGTACTTTTGGAAACCACAATCGTCTTCTTTTTAGTATTCTGTCGTCTATTTTTGAACATAGGCCTCTCCCAACTCCTTTTATCGATCACTATCCTGAGCAATATACTTCCAATTTGTTCTGGCTACTAAGAACCAAAATGAAATGAAACCAGAATGAAGAAGAAAAAAGTTTAAAGATAAAAGCAGAAGATGACAAAGTATAGGAATTTGAAAAAGTCAATAAGTTCACTCAATGGGAGTAATTTTAGAAGATATCGTTTTGTGAAAATCAAAATAAGCGAGAACAAGAACGCCTAGCAAAACGTAACAGGAAGTATGGAAGACTGGAAGTCTCTGAAGATCTAAGATTCTATACGGGAATATACAATCAAAAATATGTGGATATATATATATATATATATATATATATATATATATATATATATATATATATATATATATATATATATACAGAATGGTGTTAAAGTGCTGGGATAAAGAGTGAAGAAGGATGGAGAAGAAGAAGAAACAACGAAATGTATGAGCAGTACAAGGAGCCTAAAATTCCAACATATGTCAAGGTATAAAGTATGAGGTACTTAAGCACTGGGTGTCTTGGACTGGGGAAGAGTAGTAAAAGACAGAAGAAGATGGAGCAGGATCATCAAGAACATTAGTGAAAATTTGGTACTAGGCAAGGCCTGTTGTGCACTGTACATTTTATATGTTATAATTTTTTATATCTATGTTTTCATAATGCATCATTATTTTTAAAGTAATAATTATTATGTTTCTAGAGAAAAATTTTAAATAGACTATTATGAGTCATACGGACGTCAATGGTAAATATAAAAATCCTACAAATTATACAGATAATCAATTTTCTCATAAAACGCGAGTAATTCCCTAAGTATCTCCTGTTAAAGAAAAACAAACTTATCTGATTGCGGCTACATTTAATCACAAGTTAGATCGCAATTCTTCATCCATGACATACTGTGAAAATTGTTATGATAGAGATATATAAAAACTACTTTTAAGCTGAGAATATTTATTAGTTGTAGAAACCCTCCCAGTTGAGGCACATAATGGCTTTATCAAAAATTCATCTGGTAAGTTACATTTTATTATTTAATATACATAATATGTCTACCAATACATACGAAAATCTATCTATTTGCTTTAGCAGATTCTTTTTTAGTCCCATTTAAGTCACACTTTTTACCATTATTTCTTTCTTTTATCTATTATGGTTAATTTTAAATATATATATTCAGAGATTATACTGCCTTTCCTCTTTCAACTGTTTCCATCTCTCTCTGTTGTCCCATTTGCCATCGTTTTGGCCTCTCTTACTCATGGCGTCGTCTACTTCGTTCCTCCAGAATCTTCGGGGTCGTCCTTTTTTCCTCCTTCATATGGGGCTCCATTCGGTTATTATCATTATCCATCTGCTGTCGCTAGTTCTTCTTACATTTCTATACCACTTTAGTTTTTTTGTTCTATATATGTTAGTATATAGAACAAAAAGACTAAGTACATAATAGGACTAGTATATAATATTTGGTGATTTTATTTCGACACCCTTAATATCTTTGTCATGTAAGAAATATCTTGCCTTTGTCAAGGCAAGCCACTGAAGACAACAACCTGATGTTTATTTCGACTTTCTTAGTTGTAAGTCATGTAAGAAATAGCTCGTCTTTCTGAAGACGATTGATCAGATGAGAAAACTTGACAAGTTCATATCCTGAAAATGGACTTGGGTAGAGGTGCTTTCGTTGACGTCTCCGAAGCCCTCTACAGAGCACCCGGAGACATTAGAAGGCGTTTAGACCCATTCCATTTACCCCGAGGTGACAATATTACGCTTATTCCTCTGTAGTTTTCGCATCGTTTTCTATCTCCTTTCTTAAATATATATGTATATATATATATATATATATATATATATATATATATATATATATATATATCATATATGCCTCCGTCCATTCCTTTGGGAGCTGTTCTCCATTTATAGCTTTCTGAAATATCCATTGTATCATCCGGTGTAATTTTTTTGAGCCGCATTTTATAAGCTCAGGTGAGATGCCTCAAAAAAAGAGCAATCAGAACTCTACTTAACTTGAAATACAGAGATTCATGTAGAGGTAATTTCAAAAAGCTAAACATACTAACAATGGCTGGAACATACATATATGAATGCTTACTTTTCATTTTTAAAAATAGACATAAATTTTCGAAACACATAACAAACCATAATACTATTAGACAAAACAATCTCTTAAACTATAATATACCAATACATAGACTAACAGCATCTGAGAAAACCACAGAATATGCCTGTATTAAATTCTTTAATAAACTGCCTTACAGCATCAAAATAGAAACTGGCATAAATAAATATAGAAAATCTATTCAACAATTGCTCATACACCTTGAACCGTACAATGTTCAAGATACGTTCAAGCTGACCTGCAGGGAGACTGAGGGCTCTTACCTAAATCTAAATGTCACTGTTATTATCACTGTTAATATAATTTATTTTAATATTACTTTTATGTTAACTGTAGGTTGTTACAGCAACCATTATAAATTGTAATTGACACCACTCTCTCTATTGACAATTTATATTTGTGTGTAGCTTGTGAATCCTGAGAAAAAAGCTTCTTTCTGTTCTATTCTATTCTATTCCAGGTCCCGGTGCTTTCTTATTTTTGATTGCTTTTATGGCCGTTCTCATTTTCCTATCTGTTAGTTCTATTTCTTGTTGTGGAGAACTGCTTCGTCTTCGCCTTTTTTCTTTTCCAATGAATTGTGGTCTTTGTTCTGTTAACAGTTCCTTGTAATAGTCCTTCCATTCTTTGTCTTGTATATTTCCCAATTTCATTTTTTCTTTTGAGTTTTGTTTCAATCCTCTCAGACCTTTCATTGACTCCGAAGTTCTTGTACCTCCTATGTATGTTTTAATATTTAAGCAGGTTCTTTCCCATTCTTTTTTCTTTTTTTGTGTTATTTATTTTTTTACTTCTCTATCTTTTTCGAAGGTCTTCGAATGCTGCTTGTTTTATACTCGCCTTTATATTCTTGTATATTTCTTTTTTTTGGTTAATTTTACTTTGCCGTATTCTTCTTCTTCTTGTAGTTCCTTCTCCTATTTGAGATTGGTTATCATCGTAGCTATCCGTACTTTATTTGCAGCCACTATAAAGACGTCTACTGGTAACTATACCATTTTCGATGATTTCTTAGTTAGGAAATACTCCTTCGACCAACGTTTACCCTTACCTTTGATCTTTCCTTGCAAGATAAGTCTTAGAATTTCATACTTTTCATCCTTAGTAATATGGGCCAGGTATTCAAATTTTCTCACTTTAATTAATTTAATGACTATATTAAAGATAACGTTCTGTATTGTGAACATCCTGTTGCGCGAGCTTTCTTTGGTAGTGTAACAAAGTTGCACAATAACCATTATTGAGGAATTGCACCTGCTATGTAGGTTTTGTTAAAGAGATTTATGAGCATGTGCTGGGTTCCATCATTAATGTAGTTAATTAATTCAACAGACATTCTATCTGAGCCTACTGCTTTCCCTTAATTTGCATTTTTAATAGATTGTTCTAATTCTGCCAATATAATATTCAGCCCTGTCTATTTCTGCATTTGTTTTTGCAATATCTATATCTATCATTGTCAAAAAATATCATTATGTATTCTTTTCATAATTTAAGTTTACCTTGGATGCATGTAATCCGTCATCACCTTTGGATACTCCATAACGCACGGTTTTTAATATTTGTTAGTTCTTTCATTTTTTATGCATATTAAAACTAGCTCAGCTAAATCAGATTTTCTATCATACTGTTGTTTCTATTTCATTGCATTGATCCATTAAACATTTTTCTTCAGCCTCCGTTATTTTTAACCTTATTTTTCCATGTAGTTCATTGTAACTTAATTCCTCCCCTTAATATATCTTCCCTCTGCCATTAGTCTATTATATCTGTCTTATTCTATAAGCATATAAATCCGATTGTGACTATTAATATATGATTTTACAGCAATTTTACCCCTCATCATCATTGGTGCATATTAAAACTAGCTCAGCTAAATCAGATTTTCTATCATACTGTTGTTTCTATTTCATTGCATTGATCCGTTAAACATTTTTCTTCAGCCTCCGATATTTTTAACCTTATTTTTCCATGTAGTTCATTGTAACTTCATTTCTCCCCTTAATATATCTTCCCTCTGCCATTAGTCTATTATATCTGTCTTATTCTATAAGCATATAAATCCGATTGTGACTATTAATATATGATTTTACAGCAATTTTACCCCTCATCATCATTGGTGCTAGTTGATACTAGATTTATTAAATAAATGCTATGCTGAACAACGTTGTAAACGCCAAATCACATTTTGTCGATAAATTGAAAAAAAAAAACACTTTATAATTGATCCTTTTGAAAAAAAGTATTTATGAGCGTAATATGATTGACTATAGGATGCCTAACATTCCTCCTCCTCCTCAATCCTTTAGCCCTTGTCAGGGCATAGTGACACCCTAAATATTGTTAGTCTGCTGTCTCCATTGACTGCGATCTTGTGCCATATGGACGGCTTCATGTAGGGATGTTCCCACCAAACTCTTCATTTGGTCTACCCATCGTATTGGAGATCTTCCTCTTGGTCTTCGGCCTTCTACCTTTCCTTCTACTACCAATAGTTCCATGGTGCCCGTTCTTCTAGCTATGTGGAAGAAGTAAGTTGCCAAGGTATGCTTGGTTTACGTTTTTTAGTAGCCTGTCTTTTATATGAAGCTCTTCCAGAATTGACAGGTTGGTTCTATGTTCTGTCCAGGACACGCGTAGAATTCTTCTATATACCCACATTTCGAAGGCTTCGATCTTACTCCTATCGATTTTTTTGAGAGTCCATGTTTCAGCTGCATATGTAGCAATGGAAAAATAAGGGCATTGACCAACCTGAGCTTAGTATTCCTTGTTATTGTTCGGTCTTTCCATATTTTAATTAATTTAGCAGTTGCGGTTCGGGCCATTCCTAGTCTACGTTTGATTTCTGAGGAACAATCACCATTGTTGGTTATCAGAGAGCCCAAGTATACAAATCTGTCGACTACTTCGAAAATCCCTATTTGGCGTATATGCGGTAGATTATTATTTGCTCTGTCTACAATCATTATTTTTGTTTTTCCGGTGTTGATTTGAAGTCCGAATTCTTCACTTATTCGGCTTAGCCGTTCGATGATGGTAATCATTTCGACTTCATTCGCTGCTAGTATAAGTGTGTCATCTGCGTATCGCAGGTTACTAATTTTTCTGCCTCCTATAGTGATTCCTCCATCCCATTCATCTAGTACTTTTCTCATTATATATTATATATGCCTAATTATAATGCCTAATATTAATATCAACAAAAATAACCTTTATGCAAAACAAGCATTTATGAACATATATGCTATACAGGATGTTTTAACAAGCCATAAATTAAATAACGCATTCTGGGGATAAAAATAAATTGATTGAATCCAACTTAGTTTAGTAAAAAAGTGTACACGAAAAAAGTTACAGCCCTTTGAAGTTACAAAATAAAAATTGTTTTTTTGAATGATCTCCTAAACTACTTGACATTTTGTAATAAAAATGGACACGTTACTTTCTTGTTCTAAAAGCGCATTTTTCATACAAAAGAAGCAACAAAATCTAAGCGCACAGAAAAATTTTAAGGGGGGTGTGCAGCCCTAAATCCCCCCAAACTTTTGAGTACTTTCAAATCAAATGAATTTTGTGGCATCATTAGTTTAACACATTATTTTTAAATGTTTTAGTTTTAAATAGTTTTAAATGGTAGTCGAAGTAATATTATGAGTTTCCAATTATTGTTTTGGCCGACACATCTATCTGACCAAATACCAAGTTTTCTTTCTTGGCCTGGATCAAGACGATTGAAGTTTTCAGTTACATAAAGTAGCAATGCTAATGCTATCTCAGTGGAGCCTCGATGCGCCATTACTTGGTTCCACAGCATCATTGTTACAGTATTACTCCCCATATTATGAACAGCGTAGATGAGTGAGTTAGATTAGGGCAAAAAAGAACTTGTTGCAAATCAGTACATAAAACGACATAATTAGCATTTATTCTTGCAATTTCAGTATCTTGTCTTAATGTTTTGTAACCTGCTTCCACGCGCATATGATGAATTTTACTTTCAATTTATATTTTCTTTCTTTCACATTCATTGCTAGCAGAAGAAAGTTTGATAAAGAGCTTATCACAATATTAACAAGTATCTGATCTGGGAAGTCCAAAACATAAGTTGAATTTACTTTTAAAAACGTGATAGGTTCGTAGAGATTTTTTTTAAAAATAATCATTTTTGAGATGCTTAAATCCGCTGAAAGGCAACTTTAGGAAAAAGCATTTCTGCTATAATGATTTTCTTGCTGCAGAAATGACCTAATATGTTCGCATATTTTCTCTGCATGTGTTAATTTTTCTGTTTTAATCTGTTTGTCCGTTATGCTAGTTTGTTTCTGTTTAAATCTACATAGAATAAATATATGATGCTAAATATATGATACTAATATTTTTTATTTTATTTTAGATTGTAGTCATTCTATGCCTTTCAAGTCTTTTACCAACAAGTCTTTCTTCACCCACATTTAAAAAGAAAGGTGGAAAGGGCGGGGGAGGAGGAGGCGGTGTTTGCTGTCAACCGGTTTATGTTCAACCACGTCCAGTTTATGTTCAACCCCAACCAGTTTATGTTCAACCAAGACCAGTTCATCCAGTTCAACCTGTTCGACCAAATCCGTGCAATACATGTGGAGGATATAACACCGGCGGTGGTGGAGGAGGAGGCGGAGGTGGTGGTGGTGGAGGAGGAGGAGGGGGTTTTGGTTTCGGATACGGCGGGGGATATGGCAGTGGTAAAAAGTAAACATTTTCTGTAAATTACGTTGTTTATTAAAAGTTAAAGAAAATATATTTGTTTTTCCTTTACATTTACGTCATTTAAGAAAACCATGTGCTAACAATAGAATAGTTTTTTTTTGTTTAAGTTTTATCTCCACGATGAAGGCTGGAGATGAAAATCTTCTTTAGTTTGTTCGCAAGTTCTTTTTTGTCCTTTAGTCCTGTTGCCTCTAGTTTGACCTTACGCTATGTTTGTGGTATCCTTAAAAATCCTCTCAATATTTGTTCAAGGTAACTAAGATTTTTATTTTTAATAGGACTGGTAATATTTCCATCTTTTAGATTTATATATTTCTAGTTGTACCAATCCATTGTGGCCGAGTAAAGACAGGAAAGGGAAAGGTCAATTGAAAGATGGTAAGAAGAAAGGAACAACACGGAGGATGTGACACAGTGTACAAAAATGCTGATCTCGAACATAAGAGATTGCGCGGACTGTGGCCACAGGCGACTGGATTATTTCCTGAAGCACGTGCTCACAGTACATGAGTGTTTTAGGGCCTACCTCTATAGGATTAGAAAGGCTGACACAAATGAATGCCTATACTGTGGATACTCGGACACTGTGACACATACTATGTTAAATTGCAGCAGATGGATAGTGGAAAGGAACAGAATGGAGAGAGAGACAGGTGTGAATTTTGGTACAGTGAGAGAAATGGTTGAGAGAATGATTGAAAATAAATCAGGTTGGACTAATATACACAGCTATATCTGTGCAGTGATCAAGAAAAAGGTAGAGGAAAAAAGACTGCTGGACCAATGGCAACGGTAAGAGTGAATGATGCTGAAAAGTGAAGTCTGAATTGGGTAAGATTGTATGAGTTAGAATGCGTGATTCAGACTATGGGGAAGGAGGAAATGCCCGTCTGGGAATGATGCCGAACTAGGAGCGATGAGGGTCTTCTACGCTCTACCAGGAACGAGACAGGAAGCCTCCCTGCTGATGAATAGAGTGTGGATGTTTATGAATGGAGAATGAATGAATAAAGGTAGAGCTTTGGAAGTGATGCCGGCCTTACAGCGGCTATTCCGCTTATGGATCGCTGGATGACAGAGGAGGGTTTGGTTTAGCAGGTAGGCGTTCGGCGTAGGCTTGGCGACGAGAGGGCATTTTAAAGTACCTCGGAAACTATCGCCGGGAGTGCGATGAACGAGTCCTGCACTAAGGTCAGTCAGGCGGCGTCCTGGACTGAGATGTCTTTTGAAGATTCCACACCCAACCTCTATAAAGATGAAAAAAAAAGTTGTACCAATCCATAATCAAAATCGATTCACTGGTTATCGCACTATACTCGATTTGTTAATGTATGATAGCAGAATCTTTATGGGACAAGGACTACTCTAGGCAGAAAAATTGTAAATATCGATAGTTTCTTGTCTTAATTCTGTACAAGCATTTATAAAAATAATATAATCATCCCGACAAACTTCGAACATAAAACAGCATATAATGCAAATGAACCAGTCTTAAGATTTTCGTCGCAATTGTATGCCTTAGTGGTAAAAAAAAGAGTTTAGTATACCATAGAGAAATAAATGGCAAAAAATTCTCAAGAATATTCTCTCATACAAAAAAATATTAAATTATAATTATTCTTACCCAGATTAAGTCATACAATCCCTCAAAACAGACTATGCAAAGGTGTAAAAAAGACATGGACAATCTAAAAGTTGCATTCCACAACTTATCTCCTGATTTTCTCATTTCTTTTATTTTGGTTTACTCTTTATGAGTACAAAAAACCAGTTCCCCAAGGATGTTTGCACCAAGTTTTGCGCTGGAGTGTTTCTAGATATACAACAGGCATTTGATAGAGTATGGCATGAAGGTCTCCTCTACAAACTGAAATTACACCTAACAGACCAACTATACTTTGTATTAAAATCATATCTTACTGACCGTTACTTCCAAGTCAAAATTGAAGACAGCTACTCAAATTACCACATCATACAATCTGGCGTACCTCAGGGTAGCGTTATGGACCCATTTCTGCATCTAATATTTACAGCAGACGTTCCAATCAGCAATGATACCTTCTTAGCTACATTTGCGGATGACACGGGAATCATTTAGATCAATTACAAAACTGGCTTAAACGATGGAAGATCAGTGTTGGTAGCAAATCAGAATAAATTACTTTTACAACAAGAAAATCAACATGTCCACAAGTTTATATTAATAATACTTCCATTCCTATAAAACCAGTTGTTAAATACTTGGGATTGCACCTGGATGAAAAACTTACATAGACAACGCACATTAAAACTAAACGGAAACAACTAGATCTTAAACTAAAAAATATGAACTGGCTATTTAACAAAAAGTCTCAGTTATTTCTTGAAAATAAACTGCTTTTATGCAAAGCTGTACTTACAGTTTGGGCATATGGAATAGAACTATGGGGATGTGGTAAACCTTCAAATACGAAGATACTTGAGACATTTCAATCCAAAAATACTCCGTATGATAAGTAAAGCTCCATGGTATATATCTAACCAAACACTCAATAAAAGAATCACTCAATAAAATATAAAAATCGCACCACTGATCACAACAACGAACTGATAAAAAAGTTCCACTAGGAAACTAAGTTCCTGTAGCTGGCTGTATACCATATATCACAAAAAATTTATTTCAAATCATTTATAAAAGGTATATAATAAAATGCCCAAACGGGCTATCACAAAGATATTGCAAAACGTTTTCCGATTATTAAATCCATCATCAGTGCAAACGAGGTATACATGCTATGAGCCACCAAAATATATGGGTCCAAACCCTTTAAATGATATAAATTTACATTTGCTTTACATTATATGTGGTTACAAATTATGATGTTTAAGTTACCGTTGGAATTGGTAACATGGCGACGTATGACCCTACATAGGTAAAATGGTCCTGAGACGAAATGTCTTCAACAAGAGTTGTTATCAACAGGTCCTCGAAAACACTTCGTCTCAGGACCATTTTACCTATGTAGGGTCATACGTCGCCATGTTACCAATTCCAACGGTAACTTAAACATCATAATTTGTAACCACATATAATGTAAAGCAAATGTAAATTTATATCATTTACGGCATTTAGAGAAGCAATTTAAATTGCAGAACTTTTTGAACCACTAAATGGTGAACAAATGTCAAAATCACAGCATTCTCCATTTAAATATTTAAATTTATTAAAATCTACATATTTTGCACTGTTTTATGTATGTAAGATCTTTCAGACTACATAAAATCAAGTGAACATATGGTTGAACTCATATTGAATAGCTGAACTCGTGTGAAATTCACACTGAATGCGTGAAAACCATACTCAAAGACCACAAAAATGAAATGTATGATCAGTTATAGTAGGTACTTATTTAATTGGGCCATTTTTTTATCGAAAGAAATTTAACGTCAGATAGTTGGTGTAAATGTTCGGCGTTATTTAGATGAGATATTTCCCGGACGATAAATTGGTAGACAAGGTAGAATTGAATGGCCTTCACGTTCACCCGATCTCAATCCTAAAGATTATTTTTATTAGAGATACTTGAAAAATTCAGTTTACAAAACTTAACCAGCAAGCCTTGTATAGCTAAGGCAATGAATTATTGATGAATCTCGAATAATTTCTAGACAATCATGGAGAAATGTGGTAGACGCATTCTACCATCGATTAGAGTGCTGTCAACTCATAAATGGAGCACATTTTAAACACTTAATAACGTAACTATTATGTTAAAAAATATTCTAAACTATCTATTGTTACGTTTTAATGTATTTGGTAATAATTAGTATCAAAAAATTTATTGAAACAATTAGGCGTTGGCAGACTTCTGTTTTATGTATTTAAAACCTTCCAGACTATAAAAAATCATAAGTGTTACATACAGTTGAACTCGCATTGAATAGAAGATTCTAATAATGACTGAATATACAGGGTGATGCATTTGAAAAACCAAAGTTACTAATAATATCAGAGAAACGGCAAATCTGGCAACATTGCAAATATCAGATATGGAATCTCCGTATCCCAAAATAGGTGTACCTCAAATTTTGTACAATTATAACTAGCAATTTACGAGATAATTGGCCGTTTCCAGACTTTTGGGCCACTCTGTATATTCCACACTACTATAGGTAGTTGTAGCTTGGAGGCCAAAAGTCGTCAGTTTGAACAAACTCAAAGCATTAGAAAGCTGCGTAGATAGACGAATGTTACGAATACCTTGGACTTTACACACCACCAACTTAGTAGTTCTCTACCGAATAAGTACTCGTAGAGAATGTGAGGCTCATTGAAATCACAAAAAAAGCGGAAAACTGCATATATCGGACATCTAATGAGAAACAACGGATACAATTTACTACAGCTCGTAATCGAGGAAAATATTGAGGGCAAGTTTGGACGATGATAAGCTCCTAGCTTAAAAACATACGAGAGTGGACAGGTTTGGGCTCCAATGATTTGCTGAGAAAGACCCAAAACAAAGAAGTATTGGCTAAAATTGTTAAAAGAAAAACAGTATAACAAATACGTGACTGATGCAGTCTCTTGTTTTTTGAGATATAATCACATAGGTACAATTTTTATGAAAAAAACTGTATCAATAAAATAAGACTATTGATCGAACTGATTTGTGACTAAAATGCGATATTATTAATTACGCCCAATAAAAATTTAAAAACCATACGAATATGTACGGAAAATTTTAATGGCAAATAAACTTTTTTAAACACGCCATTTACACATCGGACTTACAGTTAATAAGAATAAATCTAACGGCAATTACTTTGAGCAAAAATAAGGAATTCCCCAAGCATCTCCTGTGACGGAAATGAAAATATGAAAATGTAGTAAGCGCCTTGTTATAATTTTAAGATAATGAGATAATCATAATCATAATGTAGATTTTCCATCCATGACAATACATTACATTCAATTAGATATAGTGTATATAAACAATTCACAAT